AAAGAGGATACCTATTTGATTATACATGTAACTACAGCAACAAGAATCATATTTGCCCAAAATTGGAATAAGCTACCAACAGATGAAGAGATAATAAAAAAGATACTAGATCGTGCAGAGATGAATAGGTTGACAATGAAAATAAAGGATAAAGAGGAATCGGAGTACTTCAAGACATGGGGAAGATTTTATGATTGGCTAGAGAAAGCAAGCTAGAAAAGAAAATAGGGAGAAGATAAAGTACCCAGATGACAAACTATTAAATGGAAAAGGGAGGGGAGGGGAAGACAGAAAAGAAATAATATATAAGTATATATTCAAGAGCGAGATATAAAGGGGTGGGGAACATAACTAGGGTAGACTAGCGAAAGTAAGGGAATAAGAAATGATACTAAATTATATTTGGGTTGGTGAAAATACCACCCCAAGGAAACATAATCTGATATTTGAAATATACACCAACAATAGAAAAAGAAAGGGAGAGAGGAGGCGAGAAAGAAAGGAAGACGGGGGAAAAAAAGAAAGAGGTAAAGAGGGGAGGATGGAAGGAAGAGAAAGAGAGAGGATGGGGTGGAGAGGAAGCAGTAGGAGAAAGGGAAAGGAAGAAGAAGGAGGAGAGGAGGAAGGAAGAAACTAGAGCAGGGAGGGAGGGAGAAAAGAAAGGGAAAATAAGTTGGTGTTACAAAAGGAGGAAGGGATGGCAAATAAAGCAACCCAAACTGTACATTATAACCTATTAAATGGAATAATAAACGTATAAGGATGATAAATGTAAAGAAGAATAACAATTATGTGAATGTATACTTAAAATGGTATGTAAGAGAATAAACAAATAAAAAATTCTTTGAAAAAAATTATTTTCTAAAAAAAATCACAATGATCTAAAAGTGTATTCCTATATAAACATACATTTTGTATCAATTACTTTACTTATACATATTGAATAAGAATCCTCAAAAATTTTCTTCTATCAGCAGGTGAATAAATCCTGCCATAAAAAAGCATCCATAAAAATATTCAAAAAAACAATATATTTTTTCTTGTATTGATTATTATCTAATTTTCTAAGAGGATTTAAATGTCATTTATATAACTTCCAAGTCAGCTATTCCTATGAGTGTGATAAGAGGTGAACATTACATAGCTGTATAACATTAACTCCCCAAGACTTCAATATCACCATTATAACAGATGCTTACCAGTTGCCGGTTCATAGATCTCCTCACTGTGATCCCCATCCACAGGCTGGTGACGGGTACCGTCTCGGTAGTTGAGAGGTTGCTGCAGTATAAATGTACCAGTAGTAATGGTGCTCATTGCAGTAGAATGGAGTAAACGAGAAAAGCCGCGTGGAAGAAACAATAAACTGGAACTAAGAAGCATCTGAGGTCTGAGGCAAAGCTGCAGAAGATGTAATATATGGAGGCTCTGTGACAAGGTATCTTATGTAAAGTACAAATTCTTTAGAATCAAACCCATATGGATATTAGGTTTCTTACAAAAATAGAGTAGTTTACCACTGGATTCCAATATTATTATTAGTTTTATGTCCCATCTTTATTTTCTAAAACTCAAGTTGGCATACATAATGTTCCCACCTCCTTTTCCTCACCACAACTGTATGAGCCAAGTTGGGCTGAGAGGGGAACTAGCCCAAAGACATCCAGCTAGTTTCCTGCCTAACTTGTCAGCTCCCAGTTTCTAGTTCAGCACCTTAACTAGTATGCCTAAGTGGCCCTCACGGATTCCCAGTGTAGGCTATTACTCTGGATTCCCTGAGGTTGTCTCCCGTACAAGGATAGCTTTCCCTAAGTTTTTCAAGATCAGCCATTTGTGTTTTATTTAATTCAATTATTAAATTGGGCACTGGGAATTGCCTAGATGACTTCCAGGCTCCCTTCTAATTCTATAAATTGATATTATGTTTCAGAAAAGCTTTCAAAATAGTTTACAAAACAAGGCAAAATATTTTTATTATCAAATTCAATAATTGTGGGCACTCATTTCTATACCAGAGACATTATATAAAGCATTATAGGTTGTATAATCCATTCTGGGGCATAATTAATTACATTATTTAATACCACTAGTGTACTTATAGCTGATTTATGCATCCAATTTACGCACTCACTTGATACACAAAAATAATTTTTTTGATAGAAACATGCAAAGCTTGGTGTAATAATTTCTTGAATTATTCTTAGATTACAGATAGTCCTCAATTTACAACGGTCAATTTAGTGACTGTTGAAAGTTACATCACTGAAAAAAGGACAGTTTTTCACACTTACAACTCTTACAACATCCCCATGGTAGATGCTAGGCAACTGACTCACATTTATGACGGTTGCAAGTGTCCCAGAGTCACTAGATCCCCCTTTGCGACTTTCTGTCAAGCAAATTCCATGGGGAAGCCAGCGTCACTAAAAAACCATGTGACCAACAACTACTGCAGTGATTCACTTAACAAACCTGGCAAGGAAAGTTGTAAAATGGGGCAAAACTCACTTAACATTCTCATTTACCAACATCAATTTGGGGGTCTATTGTGGTCATAAATTGAGGGCTACCTGTTCTCTCTCTCTCCCTCCCTTCTCCCCCCACCCCGCAGCTAATGGATCAACAATTTAAGTAAATTGCAGTAAATTTGTCAGTAAATTGCACATACTGCTAGGATATGGAAGCCACGACGGCAATATAACATTATCGCGGTTTAGAAAGCAGCTTTAAAAATCAGGAGGAGGAGATGAAACAGGCCCCGCCTTATAAACCTCAGGCCTAAAACCACATCTCGGGAAATGGGAATAACTCTGACAACTGGAATAAAGTGTGTTGTTTTGCACAGCACCCGCTCGGATCTACCGTCAAAAAAAAAATACTCGCTCCAAAACTAGCAACCTGAAAACAAAGCGCGTCCCTTTCTTATCTACTTTTCCCAGCAAGGGAGGGGGAGGGAAGTTTCCCTTTTTTCTAATCGTAGAGTAGAACCGCCTTCCTGCGCGCGGAGCAGTTCAAATGAAGAAAAAAAAAACCCACATATGGACAGGGAAATGCTGGATTGCTCTGTACCAGCGTATGTGCAGATGCAACCATAATCAGTAGGAATAATCTCCCTATTGCAAAAAAAACAATGCAACCCACTCCCGATTGTCTCTTCACTTCGACTTGGAGACCGCCCTGTCTGCGATGAACAGGAAAGCAGGAGCCCTCTGTCAGGGGCCTCCTGCAAACTGAGTGGAATTATCCCTAAGACACGCTCGCCTCTTTAGTCATCGCTCATACTCACATTTCAGTTACTGCATTTGCGCGCCCACAATCGACCTTTGATGCAGAAAGAGCCTTCTCACTCCTTTCTACAATTCCACCCCCTCTTGTAGGAAAGCCCCACCTTATAAAGGGGGCAAAAAGCAAAGGGCGTCCGGAGTTCAGATATTGCCTCACATTTGGGATTGCACATTGACTCCACCTCCCACTCTATTGGCTGGTTATATGAAACCCTCGGTGGAACAGCCTACAGCTAGGAGTCTCGTCATCCCAGTGCATATTTGCTGAAGCAACAAGTATGCGTTTGACTTTTAAGAGTGCCTGCACCGAGGACAGAGTTGTCGCCCCCTCCGTGAAGAGAGAGAACAGGGAGAGGAATTCGGGTTAAATATTTAGTCAGTCATAAATTTTGCCCTGCCTTGTCAATTTGGCCTCAGAATTCTCTATGGCTTCTCTAGCTCTGCAAAATCACTATTTCTTTCATTATTTTATATATTATATTATAAATACTGTAATCACCAGGGGATAGGATAGCAAGGTAAAAGGAAAAGTGTCCAAATGTGTTGTTGAGGAAAAATGTCCCAGATATTCTTTCCAAGTACTTTATTCTGTATTTATATTTTGGCATACATTATTTTTCTGAGCCTTAACTATGATTACACTTGCTCTTGCAGGAACAGCTAGTCCAGAATGCGGCCGCGCGAGCGATTGTGGGTGCACCTCGCTTCACCCACATAACACCTATCCTCCGCGAG